GTTCAGGATAAATATTAGGGTAAATATTTTTTATGGGATGGTGAAATATTTAAGAATGTTTCTGACCCAAAAATTTGAATAGCAGGTATCCTTGTGCCTTGGTCATGTCTTATGTAAACACATTGATGTAATTTACAACTTTTGGTTACAAGCTTCTTTGAGGGTTTTTTTGTGTGGAATAGATATACAGGGTATGACAAAAGTATGGAATGTAGCTAATTTATCTTTATTTATTTTTTGAGTTAAGATTTTCTTTTCATAAATTACTATCAGATTTTTTCTTTTAAAACATAAACTTAATAATCGTTTTTCTTATGTTTGTGCAGACGTTGATACTCGCACCTTTGCTGTTCCAACTAGCCCAGTCCGAACACATTCGCTTGTTAAAACGTATGGTAGGAAAAGACAATTTGCTGACAATTCTAGCACAACATCAAATTCTGATTCGGAGGAATTATCAACTCTCACAGTCAACTATGATACTCCAGACGAAAAGCAACACCAGAGTACTTCTAGTTCTTCTAACATGAGTGTAGTAAGTGATCGAATTATGAATATGCCTACCAAAAGGAAAGTGTCATCAAGAAGTAAATGTAAACTTTTGACGAATAAAATGCTACAATTACGATTAAAATACCGAGCGCGATGTCAACAAACATACCGCTTACAGAAGAAACGTAATAGTAGTAGTTTTTGCCCTCAAACCATTATTGACAACCTAATTAGATACAAGAGCGAAGCTGTCAGAACTTTTATAAATATGCAAATTTGGCGAAAAAGAAAATCTAAATAGAGTAAGGCTGAAAAGCAGATCGCAATGTCTCTTTTCTACAAATCATCCAGCACGTACAGTTTTATGTTAAATAAATTAAAGTTTGTTCTGCCAGCGGTCAGAACTATACAGTCTTGGTTGAAAGTTTTAAATTTAAAAACAGTGATCAAAACTACACTGACAAAGAAATTAGCTTCAAAAGTTAAAAGTATGACAGATTACGAAAAATATTGCGTGGTAATATTTGATGAAATTTGGTTAAAAACACAGCTGGAATATAATAAATTCCAGGATCTAATTGAAGGATTTCAAGATCTGGAAAACTATGGCAAAGAGTCCAAACTAGCCAACACGGCTCTTGTATTTTATCTGCGGGGTTTGCTCCATAATTACAAAATACCATTAGGATATTATACATCCGCTGGACCTGTAAAAAGTTCTACGCTGCATCTAATCATAAAAGATGTTATCAGAGAATTAAGGAAAATGAACTTAAATCCTCTGATGTTAGTCAGCGACCAAGGATCCAATAACAGAAAAGCGATGAAGCTATTAGGAGCAACTGTAAATAATCCAATGATTTTAATAGATAATAAAAAAAATTTTACAAGTTTTGACGCTCCACATTTAATTAAATCTTTAAGAAACAATTTCATAAATCCGAAACTAAAGTTTGTAGTTAATGGAAAAACAATTTGGTGGAACGACGTTGTCGACACTTACAAACTAGATCAAAAAAGTACTACTACAAGAGCAATGCTCAAAATCCGTGAATCCCACATTAAACCAACAACATTTGAGAAAATGCGAGTCAAATATGCAACACAAATATTCTCGCACACAGTTGCAGCAACAGTTGCTACAGCCAGAGGAACGATGCAATTAAAAAGTAATACAGCGATAGATACCGCCGGTTTTATTGAAAGTGTAAATAATATATTTGATACTCTAAACAGTAGAGCGTTAAATGATAATAATCCCAACAAAAGAGCATTATCGATTTACAATGATAGACCTGAAAATATTACCATTATTATACCAGTGTACTGATATTGTCTGGATCAGATAAAGAGCAATTGATGGATGCAGAAAAAGAAATCCAAGTAGCAGAAGAACAGAAAATTGCCAGGTGTGTCTTGACTCTTCCTCAGAAAGATGTAAATGTCGACGACATCAACGAAGTAATTACATCTAACAGTGGCCAAAAAAAATTACATTGGAAAGTTGTACGACAGCGTATGCAGGTTATGTATTCCACAAAATTTTTGACAAAACAACGTGCGAACAATGTCGATCTGATTTAATAAAAGATTCAAATGATGCGTTTGAAGAAAACGAACTTTTTATTTTGAATAAAGATTATGGCTGTTCCACTGATATACAATTCTTAAGAAGACCTACTGAGAGCTTTATTAACACCACCACTTTAAATACATTTAAATAGATTTAATGCCCTCTACGAACAGTACAAATTAAGTGAAAATGGTGTAAAAAATATAGAAAAGGATTTAATGGACGACTTGCCATGGTTATATGCCGAAGAAAATTGTATAGACCATAAGAAACAAATGGTAAAACTAATTATAAAAATGAAAATTTTTAGAAAATGGGAATCTGATGGTAGAAAGAAAATTCCCATATCAAGTGGAAAACCACATAGGAAAGTACGAATTTTAGGAAATTAACTACTGCCACAAAAATCAGTGGACTTATTTTCTCCAAGTATTTTTAATAAAGTGTTTAACAATTAATTTCAATAATTTTTAAACTTTTTTAGTAATTAAAATAATAAAATAAATCAATTTTATAAAATATTACAACTTTTCGTATTTTTAACTACTTTATGTGATTTTTAAAATCTTTAAAATTCCCTATTTTTTCAACTTATTAGTATGATTTTCAATTTTTAAATATTTCTTGAGAAATGTAAAATTCTCTCAGCTCGGATGTGGTTCGGTATATTATAACGGTGGCGCCACTTTACAGAGTGAATGCGGTGGAACTAGTTCAGTAGTAGGGAGGGTAGGGGGAGGGGAACACGGTTGCAGCTGCGACGCTTATTTTCCCTGTATTGCGTGTTTTGTTAAATTTCTTAGTCAACGCTAGAACTAAGTGTTAGTTCTTGGGATACCATGTTGCAACCTTCTTCAGAAACAAGTCACTTCGAACTTGTTTGCTGTGTTGAAAAAAAATTAAAGCTGTCAACGGCGTTATTTCAGCGCCTACTCTGCTTGTAATATGCCGATTTAATATTTTCACAAATGACGATGGTTTTTATTCTAGACATTTTATACACCCTGTACAGTCTACAGTGGACATAACACCTCTTTGTTAACTAAAAATAACTAGGAAGCTAATTTCGCCAATGAAAGTTGCCCTACAAATCGATAACAACTATAACCCTAAAAAAACTCCTGGAATTGATGAAATTTCACCAGGCTTATACTTGTTTAATGCATGCTTGAGACTGAAAGATGTCTCGATACGTTTTAAGTCGGCACAGATAATTAAGCTCAAAAAACTTCTTTAAATGTTTATTCTTAAAACGTCTTAAACTCCTCACCAGGTTTCCTATTTTGTATTGCGTAATCGCCATTCTAGCATAAAGTGACAACCGTTTTTAGAATACATTTGAAAAACAGAAATACTGTCCTGCAGTTTTCATGAACTTCACATGAATTTCGCAGTCGTTTGATAGTATGTGAAATCATATCACTCTGAAAATGCGTTTGGAGTGTTACATGAAGGAGGATACTCAACATTCAAACCAATCTTCGCTGGAGTTTCCAATTTCAAAAGATGTACTTAAGACATTTCCTGATGACACAGTTAATCTGATAAGTTATTCAACGCAAATGAAGATTTTCAAATGAAATTGAACGGTTTGAAATTGGTTCCCATCAATTTTGAATAAACAGGAGGATGACCCATTTTTCAAGCAGAATGAACAAAATATTTAAGTCACTAACTTGATAGTAGAATGAACAGGAGGCATCATGTTATACAGAAAGGTGAACAGATTAAACTCAAAATGAGACAAATTAGTCGATAGATGCTGCCAATGATCCAATTGATCGTCAGAGGTAGTCAAAACAAATTTCTGCTTGATTGCCAATGCTTACTTGTGTCTACGAAGTAATTCAAGATTTCGTGTGAAGCATAAGAAAGACTGCTTTGATATTCCAACATTACAGCCATTCAACTCCTGGACAATACTCAGAAGCTTAGATGATTGAAGAAAATTAAAATTCACGAAATTTTATAGCATCAAAACGAAATTCAGTTTAAATACGATTTAATATTGGGAATATGCGCGTTTTGCTACAATTGAAGGGTAGTAACAAATTATGATATAAATTAAGAATGCACTGAGAATGCCAATAGGGATATTATTAAAAAAGTTAATGTCTGTCGCAAAAAATCGCAATAAATATACAACTATTATATCAATTTTCATACAAAAGGGACCAACATATTCCTTTTAATATAAGAAATATCCAACTACCATATGCCTATACAGCAAAATATTTGGGTATAACATTGGATGCTAAACTGTGTTGAAAAGCGCACGTCAAAAAGAAAAAAGGACAATTAGACATCAAATTTTTAAAACACGTATTAGCTGCTTGGACGAAACTTCACCCAGTTATTCACCAAGTCTGTATGGTCATGTAGCAAACAGCTATAGCGTTATGCCAGGAAGAGTAATTTAGAAATATTCCAACAATACCAAAACAATTTATTAAGGAGTATTGGTAGTCCTGTCCCCCTATCCTAGATTTTTTTCATTGTTATACTCTTATTGGAATATGTAGAACAACGTAGAACTGATGAAAAATTATTTTGCACTGTACCACTCGAAATAAGGTTCTGTATACTCTGTCATGTATAATATTATTAACAGCTGCTTCGTATAACTTTATGTTTCAAGTTAAAATATTTTTTGTATTTATACGTGGCAGAAATAAAGAGTTAAATCAACTTTTTTAAATTTCCTGCCAATATGCTATGCAAAATTTGCTGCAAAATATTTTTTTAGTGTTCAAAATTTACTATACACTTTTTACTTCCTAAGGAATGATGTGGTCTTATCAAAGTCTTTTTCAAACCGTCCTTTAAAGCGTTATTTTAGATAACTTTCTTAATAATTAATTAATGATTTTTGTGAGATATTAAACATTGAATAAAACTTATTCAACTTAGTAGATTAAAAAATAAATTAACGTACCTTTAAACCTCGAACTGTCTCTGTATGTTCAACAATCATTCTTTGATGTTTCAACCCTAAATTTTCCAACTCTTTCGCGGTCATATCCAACTCCATCTCAACTTTTTCCAATCGTTCCACCATATTACGATTCTTCGTTCCCAACTCACTATTTTCCTTGGATAAACTCTCGCAAACCTCTTTACTCCTCTGCAACTCAACCCCTAAAATATCAACTTGCGCCTGCAAACTCGCCGATTCCTCCTTCAACTTCTCCTCGACCACCCCACAAGCATCTCTCGACGAATTCTGATTCTGTCTTAATAAAACACTTTGAGCTCGAACTTTATAATTTTCATAATCCGATTGAATCTCAATCAGTTCATTTTGTTTCAGTTCAAATTGGTTTTGAATCGATTTCAACGAATTTTCTAACGAAAGATATTTTTGTTTATACGATTCGCATTGTTTTTGTAAAATCGTTTGATTCTTTTCATTTTCAACGATCGTTTTTGAAAGTTGCGTAGACAAGTCTTCATTATCCATTCGAATATTTTCAACGGAAAACGTTAATTGTTGAATTTTTGTTTCTTTTTCGTTCAAAATCGTTTCGAGTTCCACAATTTTCTTTTTATTATTTTCGTTATTTTGGATTTCCCTCGAAAGTTTTTCGTCTAAAATTTTTATATTTTCATCCGCATTTTTACTTAATTTTTCTAGTTCTTCAATGTTTAATTTTTGATGATCTATTTGTTGTTTTAATTTCGTGATGATTTCTTGTTTCTTTTCAATTTTTTGTGTTAAATCTTTAACGGATTTTTCGTAATCTTGTATTTCTAAATTTAAAACTGATTGTTTTTTCTTCTCGGTTTTTAATTCGTTATGCTTTTCGATTTCTTGTTTTAAAGCGCGATCTTTCGCTTCTAAATCGAGATTTAATTTATTAATTTGTGCCTCGTATTCTTTTTTAATCATTTGATTCGTTTCTAATTCTTTTTTTAACGTCTGGACTTTTCCCGCAATCTGCTTTTTCCATTCGTCGACGTTTCTTTTTTCGCTTTCTAAGTTATCAATCGTTAATTTTAATTTTTTAATCATTTCCTCATTCTCTTTTAACATCTTCTTATCATTACTTACCTGTATAGAGGTTGTTTCTAATTCTTTCGCGGACGTTTTACATTCTTTCCATGACGTTTCTAGTTGATCTTGCAACAAATCGATTTGTTGTTGATATGATTGTTTCGTTTTAATCAATTTTTGCGATAAATCTGATTTTTCACTTTGCTCTTTCATTATTTCTTCGCTTAATTGTCGAATTTTCGCTTTTAATTTTATTGCTAAATTCCTTAACTTTCCGTAACGTTCTTCCCAAGAACCTTCAATATCTTTCATTCTCGACGATTCTTCAGTTTTCGTCACGGAAACTGTTGAAGTCGTTTCGCTATCGGGGTAATTAAATTCGCTTGATTCAACGAAATGAGAAGACATTTTTTCTTTTAACTCGATTATTTCAGATTTTAACCGTGATATTTCAGAATTTTTTTTAACAATTTCTTCGTCAGTAAACGAACTTGCGAAGGTTTCGTTTTCATTTTTTAAACTTAACACCTCTTTTTGTAACGTTTCAATCGTTTTTTCTTTGCGCATCAGAGTTTCAACGTTGGCTAAATTTTGAGCTTCGAAAAGTTGCATTTTCTTTAAAATTTCGTCGCAATACGACTGTTGTTTTGAAATAACTTCTCCGCGTTCTTTTAACGCTTGGTTCATAACATTCATTTCCGATAATAATTCGGCGTTTTCGCGTTTTAAAGATGATAGTTTATCTTCTTCTTGTGTTTCAGTTTGAATAATTTTTTCTTCATTACTCTTTGAATTATTTTTTATCGCATCCATTTGTTCTTTTAAGTTTTTGATATATTGATCAAGCTGTTGATTTCTTTTAACGTGTTTGATGATTTCTTCGCTGGTTTGTTCAGCCATTTGTTGTTCTTCACAATCTTTTTTTTGAATTTGTTTGGAAAGTTCTTCGATTTTTTTCTGTAAATTTTCATTTAACCTTTGTAATTCTTCGTATTTTTTTGATTTATTGCTTAAATCAACGTTTGTTGCTTTTAAATTAATAATTTCCGTTGATGTCGTTTCAGCTAAGTTTTCATAACTTTTTACTTTTTTAGTTAAATCATCTTTTTCATTTGAACATTTATCAATATCTTTTAAATAACGTTCAATTAAAATTTTGTATTCTTCAATGTTTTTAATTAAATCTTTATTAATCGATTTTAGTTCATCTCTATTTGCAAGTAAACAAGAAATTTCTTCGCCTAAATTTTTTTTACATTTTATATTTTTTGATATTTCTTCAACGGTCGTTCTATATTTTCTTAATTCCTCAATTTCCAATCGATAGTTTTCCTCTTTCGTTTTTAATTCATCAATTTTCACTTTTAATTCTTCATTACTTAAATTAGTTTTATTCAAATCAGCAATTTGACCTTTCAAAACATCGATTTTCAATAAAAGCTTTTCTTCGCGATTTTTCAAATCAACGATTTCACTCGACATTTGTTCATTTTCTGCAACCAAATCATTCTTAACCGGTAATTGGAAAATTGATTTAATATGATTCATTTCTTCTTCGTTATTTTGATTTTTGTTAACGGCGAATTTAGATTCTGATTTTTCCGAATTGTCACTATTTGATTTTTGAAGTTTTTCAATTTCGATTTTAAGCGAATCATTTTCTGTCTTAATTCGTTCACTTTCGACATAATTCGTTTCGATTTTCTTTAAAACAACGTTTAAGAGATCTTTCCAATCTTGAACTTGATTTGTATATGTTTTAAATGAGGATATCAATTCGTTTTTAGATTCTTTTAATTTCTTAACGTCACCGGCAAATTTTACGATTTTCCCGTGATAACTTTTTAATTTATCTTTTAATTTTTCATTTGAATTTTCTGAAATAAAACGAATTCTTATTAAAACATGAAATTTATAGTTAACAAGAAAAAAGTTATTAATTCATTTTTAAATTACAAACATTTTTGAAAAATTTCTCAAAAACCATAACAATAAGTTTAGGAAATGTGCAAAGGCGACATTCCTCCGCACATTTTCTAACGAAACATGCAATGAAACCTTAGAATAAAAAGTTTGAAGAGGCTGGATCAGCTCAAAAAACGAAGCTGACAGGATTTACCGGCAAGCGCTTGTGTTCTACAAAATATCGAAGGTGTACGCGTTTCAGCCATACGAGAACCGCGGCGTTCAATTTGTAAACAAACAGCTGCAATTAAAATGTCCCGAGAGAGTGTACCATTCCCTATTTTGTTTTATAATTTCATTAGACTTCATTCCTGATGAGGGGACGAGGAAGGAGACATAAACATCAGATATGGACAGAATAGGTTAGAGGTAGTAAATCACTACAAATACCTGGGGGAGGGACGAGCAATGCTAAATAACTAAGTCTAACAACTATGCTAAATAGTGTTCCTAACATAATTCAAAGTGATCAGCAGAGTAATATACTATGTGCAAGAATGAAACAACTGTATTATGAAATACAAAAACTAAATATAAAGAAATCAGTACGCTATGACCTAATAAATGGAGAAACATTGAAACATCTACTAAAACGGGCGATTACAAAACTATTACATATAATTAATGCTGCTTTCAAACAAAAATACATCCCAAGTATATGGAAAGTTGCTAAAATAATAATGATACCAAAACCTGGTAAATACCCACGGATGTTACATCATATAGGCCCATCTCATTATTACCCTTACTATCAAAACTACTTGAAAAATTACTATTAAAAAGACTAAAACCTGTGATAGAAGAAAAAATCCTTATACCAACACATCAATTTGGGTTGCGGAATAAACATGCAACAATAAACCAAGTGCATAAAATAACGAATACTATCGAAATACATAGTAATGGAAGAAAATAAAGTCTACTCCGCCGTATTTTTGGATGTTGCACAAGCTTTGAACAAAGTCTTTTTAGATGGTTTACATTACAAACTATACCAAATACGACCATCAACGTATAGTCAACTATTAAAATCGTATTTTTCCGATCGATATTTTAGAGTAAAATACGAAAACGCTTATTCACCACTACATAAAATACAAGTCGGAGTTCCTCGAGGAAGTGTGCTTAGCTCAACACTGTACTTACTCTACACATTCGACCTTCCTCAGGCCTACCTCGACCTACCACAAACTTTAACAGCTACACACAGCTACAAAATGGAGTAGTTGCAGCAAATAAGTTACAAATTGGCCTTAAATTCAATAGAAAACTGAGCCAAACGATGTCTAATAAAACTAAATACAAATAAATCGACATACATAGATTGTACTTATAAGAAAGTAAACTGTGTCTCAGTAGACATAAATGACACTGGATGCCAAACTCACATGGAAAGCTCACGTCAAAAAAACGTGAGGAACTTGATATCAAATTTAGACACCTATATTGACTTATGGGCAGAAAATAATATACAAATAATAAACTAATATACAAGCAAGTAGTAAAACCAAAATGGACATACGGAATCCAACTATGGGGTTGTACCTACAAGACAAATGCAAGTATGATTCAAAGATTCCAGAACCCTGGTATATAAGAAACACCGATCTCCATAGCGACTTGAAAGTAGCATCGATGTCATCAGAAATTGCATCATTCGCATCTAAACATGAGAAGAGAATGCACGATCATCTCAACATCGAAGCCATCCAGCTTCTCGACAACGAGAATGTTCTACGTCGCCTTCAGAGGATGAAGCCGTTCGATTTAGTGACCTAGTGCTCTAGTCGATTCAAACGCGAACAATAATGCGAAATTATAACAAAAACAACAATACCCTAAACGCGTGTTACGCGTATCGCCAATTAAGACAATTGCCTTAAGTTCATATGTATATATATCATTTACTTATTTAGAGTGTATTTTTTAATTTACTAAGTGTTCTAGTTACCAAGTTTCATCTCAAAAAATGAAAAAATTATAATTATTATTTTTATTGCGTTTACTAACATTTTTTTGTGTATTTATTTCTTTACGTTGACACTTTTTAATTTAATAAATGTTTTGCGCTTCATAAAATAAAAATAAATATACAGGGTGAATTATTACTATCCTGGCGGTCGATAGTTACTAAACCGTTTGAAAAAGAAAAAGATTTTTATACAAAAGATGTTTGACTCATCACTTTCTATTACGTAAAATTGTTTATCTACAACTATTGAATTATCTATTCGTTATACATTTGATTTTTGATGGGCATTACCCATGACTGACAAAGTGTTGAATAATGAAGCCATTATTCCACAGTTCTGACAAGGCCTACTAATCAAAAAATAAAATATTAACAGAAATGACAGCTTTCTTATATTGAGGTTATGTCTGAAATGTTTATCAAGTTTATTTTTTTTCCTTTTTTTTGATTTTTTTTTCAAAATTAAATAGTTGTAGATAAAGTATAGTATTCAACTTGCGTATAATGGATGTTACCCACTCAGATTACAACAAGCGCTCGCTTCGCTCGCTCGTGTCGCAACTTCATCTTCGTGGGTAATAGCCGCCATTATACGCTTGTTGAATAATATGCTATTATGTAATTCGCG